AGAGAGAGAGAGAGAGAGAGAGAGAGAGAGAAGAGGGGAGGGATGGTGGGCTGGGCTTCCAATGGGTCGTTTATTTTTTCCTGTTTTATGAGCTCTTGTGTTTAGAGGATATCAGGGTTGCACAACCACAATCATGACAGAGCATCTGGTTTACATAAAAACATTTTTTTGTAGGAAAAAGAAGTTAGTGTGTCCACGGGAAGAGAATCACCATGCTGTACTGTGAGGGGACAGACCCGGGCCCTCATGCTCCTTTATTTTGAGTTTTTGCAACATGACCCCATGGAAAGACTCAGGGTGTCAGAAACACTGAAAATTTATTTTATTTTAAATCATATCTTTAAGTCCAGCTGCTTTTAAAACACATTGTGCAGGGTTATTTTTGGTCTGCTTGCTTTCCTCAGAGACAGTTCCCCGCCAAAGGCACACATAGGTAGGGTTTCTTTCTGCCTGGGGATCAAACTGGGTCTTGGTTTCTAGAAGAGTGGGCCTTCTAGCACCATGGGGCATCCAGCAACTTCCTGGGCATCTGGGGCTGTGATCTGCGTACATCAACCTGGTGGATTTGTGTCACTGACTGGGGAGAAAGCCACCCCTTAACTTTGGCTGCCAGGAGGTGAGGGAAGCGGGGAGGGCGGGTGGGAACACATCCTTTGAGTCATCAGTCATCGCTGGCCTAGAGGTGGCTCTAGGTTTTGCCAGAAACAAAGTACCTTCCTCAAAGGGTAGACCTCCTGTTGGTGATCTAAAATGTGTACCTTTGAAATGACTTAAGCAACTGCTTTTAGGGGGAGCAAATAAGTCATCTGTTCTCCAAGCTTAGACTTTCCTACCCAGTCGGGCTTTAAAAACTAGACCAAACCAGACTGGAATGTGTACTTTTCAAAAGATCAGCAATTGCAAAATGTCTGTGCCCTGATGGAGCTTGGGATCATGGTCTCCATGGATATAAACATCTCCAGATTCCACTGCATTTTAACAAAAACAGAACAAAGACAATGATTAAGACACGAGTACAGTCACTAACATCGATCAAATGATACTGGCTCAGTGACAGATCAGTTTTATAGTTTTGTCTCCTTTTCCAGGTGCTTTGTGTTTAAATCAGCTATAAAATTTATATTTAAAAATTTCTTCAAAAGGCAGATGCTTAGAGGAATCAAGTCATGTGAATTATCTTTCCTTCAGCTGCTTACGGCACGTGGGGGAATCGCCATGGATTTTTGAGTGGGTGTGAGTGGTCCATGGGTCATCTTCTCCCACCAGCTGGGGACAGGGAATGGGGGAAGACAGAAACTCTTTTTCCAAACATGTTGGCCGAGGGCATGATTCTCCAACTCTTTGGGACCTGTGAAAACAAAGAAAGGGGACTATTGCTTCTCTTCCTGGCATTGTGAAAAATAGTCCTGCGAGTGAGTTCCTGTCTCCATTGTCCTTTTTCCTAAGTCCTCCAGTTCTAGAATTTTGCCTTTCTCCCCTCACCTGTACTGGCCTCCTGATCCCTGGTTCTCTCACACAGTCAGAGTCAGATTTCCTGGCATTTCCAAACATCGTCTATCTGTAGCTGTGTTCCAACCATATTCCTTGACTCCCAGATGTATATCATGTCCTTTCCCTTCTTCTCCATCATAAGAAGAGGTTTTCCTCTGGACATGAACTTGATTCATTCTGAATTTATGAGAAGTTTACAAAGGAGAACTTAGCCCTTTCCCTCCTCCATCCATGAGGGTGGGGGTACAGTTACATGATGGACCTGTGTGTGGAGTATGCAGGGCAGGGCTGGAAGGAAGGAACTGATGAAAAGATTTCTCCATCCCCAGGGAATTCCTGTTCAGGGATGAGTTGGCTCCTGGACAGGGGCTTTTCCAAAACCCACCCACTTCTGATGGCTGTAGGTGGGGGATTAGGCACCAAGTTAAAACTTGTTCAGGTTTTCTTTCATATTTGATCATTTGGAAAATTGAGGCAAGAATCAAATTTGGTCAGATCTCAACAGAAATCAGTTTAAGAACTAACTTTGACTTTTATTTATTTGGAGAGGGGGACTTATAAAGTCTGAGTAGGTTTGGGATTTAGCTTGGTGGCACCATGCCTGCCTTGTAAATGCAAGGTCCTGAGGTTGTTGATCATGAACTTTATATAAAAGCTTCTACTAGTTTTGAGTTTGGGGCATGATTGCCTTTGTTCATGCAACATGGGGATTGAACCCAGGGCCTTTGCACTGACCTCCATTTCCAGCCTTTCTTTTCTTTTTTATTTTGAGACAGGGTCTTGCTAAGTTGCCTAGACTGGGCTTGGGCTTGTACTTGCAATCTTCCCGCCTTAGCCTTCCAGAGTGTGTGCCACAATTGCTAACTGCACAGGGGTATTTACTTACGAGAATCAATTGGACATTTTCCGGACAAATAGAAAGATGACTCCACCAAGGAAGCAGATGGTGATTAAGAGTCCAATGACAATTCCAGCCAGGCTCACTGTTGACAAACCATCTGAAAGGGAGAGAATAAAAACACTGAGACTTAGGAAACACATACAACACGTCATGTAAAACAGTGGCACTGCCTACTGCACAGAGCAAGTGCTCTAGGTCATTTCTCCCTTATCCATTGGAATTTAGCTCACAAGTGCAGAAGCACTGGCTAGTATTTTATTTTATTTTATTTTTTGTGGTGTTGAGACCTGAGGACAGGGTCTTGTGCATGCTAGGCAAATGCTCTGCCACTGAGCAACGCCCCCAGCCCGGATTGTATCCAAATAAAAGTAATTACCTTTCCAGAAAGGGGGAGGAAGGAGAGAAGGGGGAGAAATCCAAGAAAGAATGTAACTCACCTCAAAGATCAGGCTCAAATTTTCTTTTCAACCCCTATAGGAATACTTTAATACCAAAACCTTGCTTACCTTTATGAACTGTTGTCTGTGTTGGCTCAGTCACATTCACTGCAAAGAAAGAGATGATACAGAATTATTAGGATTTAATTACTAGCATTTAACAAGAGGCAAAAGATGACTTTATTCTGAGTGGAAAATAGCAAAACATCTGCAGAGAGGATACTTTCTTAAATAAATAGGACAGAGGTTTGTTAATCAAGCTCTGGCAGGATATTATGATCAAATGTATAAATACGTGCATGGGTTCATAGTACTTTTGTATACATTAAGCCACAGAGATGTGAAATAAACAGTCAACAAGTTTCTGAGATTATGGTAGCAAAAGAAGCCAAAGCTGTATATCCTTAGTCCAAGACCAGAATCATGAAAAGCTTACAAATGGTGACAAGGTCTGCTACTCACTTTGAAAGCAATACTCTAGGTTAGAAAGAGGTAGCAGAGCTGCTATTCACCTTGTGCTATATATTCCGTGCTTGTTGGTACCTAGTTCCAGACTTCACAGGGAAGCAATATGCCCAGCTAAACCTGAACAGAGAATATACCCTAGGTGTTTATGCCACACCCACTTTAGGATTCCTGTCTGCAGTCAAACCTAGCCCAATAGTCGCGATGTGAACATTCTTCATTGTGCCTTTCTTTTAGGTAATTCTATACAATTCCTAATTTCAAATAAAAGTGGTTTTTGTTTCTCCCTTTAACCTCTTGGTAAGCTGAATCTTTAACTCCATTCAACAGTAGCTGTTCAGCTAGTTGGCAGATGGAGAAACCAAGATACATTGATTTTAATGAGAAACTGAAGAGAATCTTAGTTCACAGCTTGCAAAATATCCTGATATCCAACAGCTTTTCTAATTAAAAGTAAAACTGCCTGTGATTATATATACATGCATTTGGTTTTCCTCCACAGTTTCTGGCTCATAACTCCTTTTCCAAGGCAGACAATAGAAACTAGAATTTCTTTTCTCCAAGGTGGCTCATGGAAACACTAATCTTCCCCTGGCTTTCTTTTGCCAAGCTGGCTGGCCTGAAAGAAATTCTCTGCCCTCCTCTCAGTCCATCAGAGGCAGAAGTAAGGATACTGGAGTAAGGATCGCTGCACAGAAGAGCCAGAAAGAACCTAAGCACATAGGCCCTGCTTGGTTCTCACAATAAATTACCTGCTTTTGTCCAATTACATTTTGACACAGTTGTCCGTGCTTTAATCTTGTCTATGCAATGAAGTCTCCATAAAAACCCAGAAGAACAGGGTTCAGAGAACTTCCCTTTGGCTTGGCACAGGAGGATCCTGGAGGGCGATGGTCCAAAGAGAGCATGGAAACTGCTCTATTCCCCTACACTTTGCCCCATCTATCTCTTCTTTGGTATCACTGTAATCGTGTTTATAATAAAGGGTAAATGTATTGCTCTGAGCTCTTTGAACCACTCTGCAAATGAACTGACCCCAAAGAGGGGATATGGGAACCCTGATTTGTGGCTGGTTGGTCAGAAGTAGAGACAGAACCACCTGGGGTTTGCAGTTGCCATCTAAGGGTTTGGAGGTTGAGTCTTCGAATATGGCATCTGACACCAGCCCCAGATGGAGCAGGAACTGAATTGGGCTACAAGGATACCAGCTGGTGTCCACTGTAGAATTTCACACTGGCTCAGTGCTGGGGGATGGCGCTCATGTATCTCATGTCAGAAGTGACTTGTGTTGTGAGTAGGAGGAAAAAGAGTCTTGAGTTGAGTCGGGGTTGGTTTTTTCCAACACACTGGAGCCAACCATCTTTAGAAAGATGCTCACTTTTTCTACTGGTTGAGTTTGAAAAAGCTATTCCTCTGTACCCAGATCCTCCTTGAGAAGGGTGCCTTTTCAAAATGGCACCAGGGTGGGGGCCCAGAATCCAGCTTTCCCCTGTACTAATCCATGGCTCTGGAGCACTTATATGGAGCACAAATGGATTGGGGAACCCCACCATAGAAAACAGTGGAGAGACTGCAGGGCTTGGCACTTCCTAGAGCAACGAGGTCATCAAATCTATTCTTAAAATGTCATTCCTGAAAGCCAATTACTAGCAGAGATAGGTCAATCGTTAGCTTATACATCTTGACTTGGCTGCTGATTCCAGGCCCGAAATACACCATTATCACCATCAAAGATTCCACCAGTTACAGAATGCATACTAAAATTAAGTGAATTTGTAGAAAATCTGCCAGTGACTGAGAGCATATTAGCCCTGTATCCCCCATTCCTTATTCCACTGACGGTGATTATGAGCACGCACCATATACACGATCATCATATTTAAGCATTTCCTAAGAAAAGTGGACACCTGCTGTCCTAAAACAATTACCTGCTTAAAAATCAAGGGCTCGTAATGACTATTTTTTTGTAGCAGGAGGCATTGAACCCTGGCCCTTGTACATGCTAGGCAAGCACTCTACTTCACTGAGCAACGTCCCTATCTCTTCTTATTTTTTATGTTTTGAGCCAGGATCTTGCCAAGTGACCCAGGCTGACCTTGAATTTGGGACCCTCCTCCTCCAGCCTCCAGAGTAACCAAGTGGCCTAGGCCCACTTGTAATGACATTTTAACTCACACGTGAAACACCCTGGCAGAGTGAAACATGAAGCACATGTGAGCTCCAAGTCACACTTTTTGTAATGTGTGGGGCAGGGAACAAGAGTAGAGATAATGAGTATGTCCCAGGTAACTGAGAAATATTTCTTATGGGACTATAAGAGGATTTTTGGTATCACAAAAAGAGTACTTAACATAGAAGAATTTTCTGTTGCTAATCAGCTGTCAATTCACGTTACACATGAGTTGTTCTCTAAAATTCTGAACTGCATTATGATGATCACTTATATTGAGAAGTGAAGTCTCTTCTTGCTTAGCCTTTCTTGGCTTTTTGCTCAATGCAAGTGCTGAAACACAACCCCAATCCTGGTAAGTGTGGTGTAGAATCTTGTCCCACGTGGATGAACACAAACTTGATTTAAGATGGTAAATATTAGTGTAGAGTCTATTTAGACTCACATACGTCAGCTGAATTGCACACTGCTGGACAGCAACACAAAGTTCTCAATGTCCAGCCAGCAAAACAACATTAGCAGCTACTAACCCTTGTAGGTAAGAATAACAGTATCACTAGTTACCAAGCAAGTAGAGAGATATTTCTGGTAGCCCCCAAATTGGATTTGATTTAGCAACTCAAAAATCAAATTCTGAACCCACCACATGGTTCAGAATTCACTCTTGCATTCCGCTGTATCCTCTATTGATCATTGTATTTGTTCATGGACTTTGGGAATACATAGATTTTTCAAAACTAGATCAACACCTACTGGGGTAACTGGTCTCTCTTTACCTGTTGAGGTTTCGGTTGCCATAGGTGGGGCTGTAGTTGTCTGGCTTTTTTGGTGACTCTGGGTTGAGCTTGCTAAGGTTGACATATCTTCCACACCAGGACCTGTTGTACTTTCTGCACCTGCTGGCGCCTATTAGAGATGCAAATGAGGCAAAAGAGAAAATGAAGCCGAGTGTTGGCTTATACTCTGACTTAACAATAGATTCAAAGTGGTGTAAATATATAAATGATGTGATGGCATAAGTTCAAAGTAGAAACAAGAAAACCAACAAAAAGACACAATAAGGGTGGGGATGAGAATTAATTGAAGTCAACCCTAGAAATGAATTCCAAGTATTTAGCGTGCACACTTCCAGAAGCCCTAGGCTTTCCTCTTTCCTTCCGTAAACTTGAAAGTATTTTCCCTCTGTCCTTTCTTTGGCAGATAAAGGTATCACGCTTACATGCCTCCCTCCATGAGTGTGGCAGCCAGACTCGCGGAGAGCTCACTCCACGCAGAGCCCTATGAAAGCAATCCAGCTTTAGTCCCAATGTACAAATGAAGCTTAGAGCAATCTGAGAGTGTGCCCCAACTCACAACCACCTGGGACAGAGCAGGACTTGGAGTTCTCCAACATTTCCTGGTTTATTACAGAGGACATCACTATGATGAGGCGAAGGAGTACATAGGGTGAGTTTATGTGGAAGGTGCAGAGCTTCTGTGCCCTCTCCAGGGACTTCCAGGGGTCAGAAGCTCTCTGAACCATATCCGTCTGGGTTTTTACATGGCAATGTCATTAAATGTGCACAATTGATTAAGTTATTGGCCAATGGTGATGAACTTAAATTTATTCTTCTGAGCCTCTCCTCTCCATAGAAATTGAGGTGTGTGTGTGTGTGTGTGTTTGTGGGGGGGATCTACAACCTTCTCATCCAGCTGTGTTTTCAGACCTCATTCTAAAGGTTGTCAGCTTTTTAGTCTACTCATCAGCATACTAAAAGATATTAAGATATTAGAAGATTCTAAAGAATTGGTTCTCTTGACTCCAAAGTTCATGCCAACGTAAGATTTAACAAACCAGCTAGAGAGCACAGGTGATATAACGAAAAACAAACTGGACCACATCAAATGTAAAGGCATTTCTACATCAAAGGTTACAATCGACAGAAGAGAAGGCCCACCTGCAGGACGGGAGAAGACATTTGGAATCAGTATCTGGTAAACCTGTAAAGAACTTCTACAACTGAACAACAAAAAACTCAAATCACTCGATGATGAATTGGGTAAAGGCCTTGAAATGATGTCTCCCGAAAGATGACACACAGATAGCCGAGAAGCATGTGAGAGGAGGCTCAGTGCCACTAACCAGGGAAAGGCAAATCAAAGCCACAATAAACTGCTGCCTCACTTCTAATACAATAACTACTATCAAAAAGCCCCAGAAAATATCAGTTGCTGAAGAGGAAACCTGGAACTTTTGTACACTGTTCACGGGAACGTGTCGCTACTATGGACAGAATGACAGTTTTTCCAAATAATAAAAATAGAACTACCTTACAATTGGGCAATCCCACTTCTGGATATAAACCTCAAGGAACTCAAAGCATGACGTCTAAAAGATAAATCACATACACACAGGATGGTGATTCCTAGAAGCTCTGTTCATGAATAACTGCCATGAAGTGGTAGAAACAACCCCAATGGGCGTGGATGGCTGCATGGATGAACGAAATGTGCCCACATACAGTGGAACATGATCCAACCTCATGGAGGAGGGGACTCCTGACACAGGAAATAGCAGATGGACCTCAAGGCTGTTATGCCAAGGCCAAAAGGATAAATTCTGTAAGATTCCACATGCAAGGTACCTAGAGTAGTCAAAATACCAGAGACCGAAAGTGGAATGGCAGTTACTGGGGCCAATGGAAAAGAATGAGGAGTTATTATGTAATAGGGGTAGAATTCCAGTTTTACAAGATAAAAAATTCTGAAGATCTGTGTAACAATGTGAAAATACTTAACGCTACTGAAATGTACACTTAAAAACTGTTAAGGTGGTGAATTTTACTTCTGTGATTTTTGCAACAATAAAAAACTATGCCACAGAGTATTTTCTATGAGCCTGGCATAGTTCCAAGCTCTTGGAATATGAGTAATAAACTCTTAAAGCTTACAGGTGGGCTGGGTGGCTGAATATGAAAATATAGCATGTAAACAAATACAAAAGGTAGTTTTTTTGTTTTGTTTTGTAGTAGTGGACATTGAACCCAGCTACTGGGGATTGAACCAAAGAGTGCTCTACTACTGAGCTACATCCACAGCCCTTTATATTTTATATTTTGAGGCACAGTCTCATCAAGTTGCCCAGGAGGGACTTGAACTTGCAATCCTCCTGCCTCAGCCTCCCAAACTGCTAGAACTACAGTGAGCACCACTGCATGCACCTCAGAAGGCAGTTTTTAATGGCTGGAAATGCTGCGAAGAAAATATCAACTACACCAGACAAATTTTTTCACTCAAGGCAAAAAAGGTAAATACTTTCAGCTTTGAAGGTGGTAATTCAGTTCTTCTCTTATAAACACTGCCACAAACTTTTCATCCAAGTCTCCATTTCTAGGAAAAGTCCTATCTATAAAAATAATTGGTGAGCCAAGTCTTTGGAGTATTTTGTCAATCCCAGGGCTGAAGAATAACTCCTGGGAGTTGCAGGAGAGCATTATTTCAATTAAATCTCTTCGAGACAACACTGAATTTGTCATGAAAGTCAACCTAGGCAGAATGGGGAATGTTCTGGGCTAAGAAAAAGGAAACGTAAGTTGGACCATGCTTGGTATATTGAAGGTCAGAAAGGCCCACATGGCTGCATTAGATAAAGCAATGGGGAAGGGCACACAAGGCCGTCAGGAGCCTGTGTGCATTACCAGGGAATTATGAATTCTCAAAGGACCAAGGATGTGGCTCCCGACCTCCTCCCTCCATCCCTCCCTTCCTCCCTCTCTCCCAGCACCTGGGCATTCTGTCTATAATAGCCCATTAGGTGAGGGAATGTGTCTGCTTAGATTCCATGTTTATAAGTGTGGTCCATGTTTAACACCTCTGTAAACGTAATACAAATTTAGGAACTTAGAGCAGTCACATGGTCACAACACAAAGGAGACTTTTTTTACTGTATTAAAAAATGTGCTGTAAATTAGAAACTTAAAAACCTTATTCCTTACTAGTTTGAGAAATCTTAGTCTTTGACTCTGGAATCTCCTAAGATTAGAACTTCTAGAGCTGGGGATTTAGCTCAGTGGTTCTGCTACCTGCTTCGAAAGTGCAAGGTCTCGAGTTTGATCCCCGGTACCAAAAAAAAAAAAAAAAAAAAAAAAAAAAAATCCTGCTCACCGGATAAAATCAGGAAACAGCTTTTGTTCCTTTGCCTGGTGGCTCACAGTGATTTTTAACACATGAACATAATATACCTTTATGATGACAGGTGACTGCAGGCCTTTGGAGCAAAGGGCTTTCCCTTGCCGGGATGGACACTCACCCGAGTTGTCAGGATAGGAGATGGCTGAGGTGCTTCAGATCCACTTGTGGTTGGGATGAGATCTTCTTTCCCCGGGCTTCCCCTGCCAACTGCTGCAGCTGACGTAACCAGGTTTTCTTCAAGCCTAGCAAAGACAGCTGAAGAGAAAACACAGGGCTTAGGGTGGACACTGCAGGCAGACTTAAATGGCCAATGACAATCAGACTGTTTATTTAGCCACTGTTTGGTAGGACTGTATTTAATATCTTCTGGCCAGCAACCAAACAATTGTCCTTGTGACACCTTTGGCACACGTGGTGGCCGGGTTGTCTGCACTGCACAGCATGGGAAAATGGAAACACAAATGGTGAAGCAGCCAGCCCAGCCCTCCCAGGATCCCAGACACAGACTCGCCTGGTCAAGCGAGAACCTGATTCTTCCTGGAGTTGTTTCACAGGATGAATTAATGCATTCAGGTTAATAGAATAGCGCTTAGCCCTCAAAAAATTCTTGCCCTCTAGAAACCAGCCTATTTCCAGGCTTCACACAAACCTACTGAATCACAAGGTCCAAAAATGGAGTTTCTATACTTTTAAAACCCAGTTGTAGGGGTGGGGCTGTAGCTCTGCCGTAGAGTGTGTGCTTTGTAAGCACCAGGCTCTAGGTTCACTTAAAAAAAAAAACAAAACAAAACACTTTCTCCACTGAATTTTGAGACTGCTGCCACTTGGATGTTTAGAACCTGTGGCTCTGACTACAGACCTCACAGGTATAGTTCAGCTTATTTAACAGTTGGGATTACTGCTATTAGAAGGTCAGAAACAGGCCCAAGGGTATAAAGATACTCATAGAATTCTCTTTCTGAGAACTAAATGAGACCTCACTGCCTCTCATGCTGGCTTTTCTGCACTAATACTTGGGTGAATGATTGGGAGATGCCAGTGAGAAAGGTTTCCAGCAGAGCAAGGGACTGGTGGTGTGGGATGGCAGGTTGGCTCCCACCATGGTAGAGTGCTACCCTTTTGAATGTAATCCCCCAGATTTCATGTGTTGGAAATCTAATCTCCAAATTCCTGTGTAGAAGGTGTTTGAAGGTGGGGCCTTTGGGAAGTTGTTAGGATGTGATGAGGTCATCAGGGTGGGGCTCCCCATGAGGGGACTCACTAGTGGCTTAGTAAGAAGAGGAAGGCAGATTTGAACTCAGACAATCGCTCGGTCTTGCCATGTGATGCCCTCTGCCATGTTAGGATACTGCAAGGCCTTTGCCAGATGTTGGTGCCACTCCCTTGGGCTTCCTGGCGATGAGCCAAGTAGATACCAATGCTATAAATTTTCCAGTCTCATGTAAATGGTTACAGCAACAAAAAATTGACTAAGACAGGGAGCAGAGAATCCTAGTGTCACCTCACACTTACGTTGCAATGATCCAAACTAGTCATGACTGCATCTAAGCATCATCTCTTGCTTTGCCAGATAATCCTTTGCATGAGTTAACACTCTGACTCACTGGCCACGGGCTTCCTCTGCAGACCAAGAGGTTCTGGAAATTCCATGACTAAATACAGTTACAAAATAAGCAGGCATCTGCATCCCAGGAGCAGAAGGGAGGAGTGCTTGGAGACTTCTTTGTGTAATTAAAGAGCAGATGTTCGTCTGAATCTAGGCAGTGCTCAATTAGCAATCCAGCCCTTGCGTGAGATGCCTTCTTTCCTTTCTGCTGAGACAGCCCAGCCAGAGGCACCGCTAATAAATATTTGATCATAACTTCTCTGCTGACACCTGAAGGGATGAGACCTCTAGAGGAAGCTGCTTGTTTCCTGAGCCCTGTCTTTGCATCCAGAGTCTTTACCCAGTAGCTGGATCAATAGCTTTGGATGAACACAAGCATTTTTTAAAAAATATCTTGGGGTGGCTTAAAATGGGAATCACTTGGTGCATGCAAATGACTTGTCATTTGCTGTACTGGGGGAAGGGCAGAGTCAGGTCCCCCAAGGATTTATGACCCTGTGGAGCTGGCATTTGTTTAGTGTATTTACTGAGCTCAGAGGAATATGCTTTTGCCAGGCAAGTAGTCTTTATGAAAAAAACTGAACACCCTATTTTTTTTCTTCCTTCCCTGGCTTTAACTCAGTTAACAATCACCATTTAAAAAAAAATGTCCTCTGGAGCCATTCAGTAAAATCACTTCCCACATGACATCTCTAACTTAAAACAATTCCTTCCTTAAAATTTGTTTAAAAAGTACTCAATGAAGTGGGTTTGAATTCTTTCATAGAAAGTTCAGTTCATTGAAAGTGTAATTTGATAAGAAATCCCTTCTTGTTCTTTTCTACCCTTGGCCCACAGAGCCAAGTTCTAAAATCATTCTGAATAGACAAAGGGTGTTTTATGAATGACAGTCAGGAATAAGATGCATGTCTTTTGTCCCACTGCTCTGGCTTTCTTTCACTCCATGGGAAAGTTGATCCCTAACAAGAGACCCTCAATTGTCCCTCTTACTATTTTGGCTGAGGCTTTCCTGGAGAGTTCCTACTAGGCCAGCTGCCTCGTTTCCAGCCAGTGTCTGACACTCCCTTAACTCATAAAACTCAAAGCATGTGATGTCTTCCAGCTAACATTCCTATCACACACACACACACATGCTCACCCACTGCTCATCCAAGTGCAGAATGACGATCCACAATCATGGACATCCAGAAGTTCTGGAGCCCTGAAATCTATGCTTCTCACAGCCTCAGCCCCAGTCAGCAGAGGGTTTGAACTGCCATGTGGCAGTTCCCAAATTCAGCAGGAACCAATTCTTCTTTACTTTGAAACTTTTTTGATACTATTCTATAACAAGCTAAGCTAAAATTTATACTACCTAGAAGATAAAGTGACAAGTGAATTTTACCTTATGGGTCTTAATTTTGAAAACAAAGAGCTTGAATCATGTTTATTTGTATGAAAGTGCTAATTAGGAATGACTTCAATCTTTGCATTAACATTTAATATCTCTAAAGAAATTATTCAAGTTTACACACATTTATTGGATGACGTTTCTCATAATATTTTAGAATTTAAGATCCAGCATTAAGCCAGGATATTACTGTAGTAATAATGTATTAGTCTCAAATTCCTAATAAAATTCTTTTGAAGATGTGTTTAATCCTTTAGTTTTACTTCCATTGCTTCGATTTGTGATAGAGAGTGGTTCCATCTGGCTATTAGGGACGTCTGCTTTTCTATTTTTCTCTTATGGTATTCCATTTTGTGGGGTAGTTTTCTAGCTGTTTTCATACCTTAAGAATATATCCTTTGGACTTGATGCTGGGCCTGTATTTTTGCCTGCTGACATTTGTATCTCTTTTTACAGAGCACATGCTCTGTCAGGAATCAAATATATTCCATTTATTTTCTCTCCTTGATGCTACACTCAAAACTCTTTTCCGGATTATGTAAATATTTACCTATGCTTTCCTTGTGGTTTTGTTCTTCTATTTAGTATTTCTATTGGTCTTCTGTTTATTTTAGAGTACTACGTAAAATAGAACTATACAAGTCACGCTCCACTTAAAGTCTCAGTAGATGACAACCACAGTCCATGAGCTTTGCCATGGAGCTGAAATCCTTATCAACTGGTGATCCGCTGGCTTTCATAGTGTCTGAGTGCCACACATTCCTCACATGTTTGTGGTGAGGCTGGTGTACGCAAACCTGGCAGATAAAAGTACAGCACATACAATTATTTGAAGTATATAACACTTAATGAAAATAAACAACTGAGTTACTGGTTTATGTGTTTACTGTACTTTATATCATTATTTTACAGCATACTCCTACTTACTAAAAAAGCTTACTGTAAGCAGTGTGCCCTGTAACACCAGCAGCAGCCTTACACGGCTGTGTCTCTTGATTGTATCAAATTGGGTGCTGGTGGTTGCACACCTGTAATCCCAGCACTCTGGAAGACTGAGGCAGGAGGATTGAAAGTTTATGTCCAGCCCAGGCTATTTAGTGAGACCCTGTCTCCAAATAAAAAAATAAGAAAAAGGCCCAGGGAATGTAGATCACTGTAGAGGCCCGGGGTTTGATTTCCAGTACTGAAGAAACAAGAGAGACGGTTTAAGTGATGGACCTTGTACCACCTACATTTGTGGGAAATACCCCAGGTGACGTTCAAAACTGCCTGACAATGACTTTATCACAACATGGCCCCACTGTCAAGAGACACACGGCTGTCATTTGATGACTTGATACCCTGCCCCAAGATTAGTATTGTTCTGGTAAATCCTCTCTTCCCCACTGCTTCAAAACATTGTGAGAGTCATCTCCACAGGACAGACTTCTCAGCACAAGGTCCAGCCCCTTACACAAGCACCTCACTTCCCAGATCTGTGCTCTCCCCTCTACGAACTCCTCCTCTTCCTCCTCCTCCTCCTCACAGGCTGTTGGTGAAGTCAGGGTGAGGACTCATGGAGAATCAAACATCACAGAGGGCGAGGAGGAGGAGCATCTGGGGTCCTCCCGAGGGCAGGCTCTGCAGCTCAACCCAACACAGAAGGTGGAACTCCCAGACCCCCTCCCACACGTTTGTTGGCCAATATAGGGTTTACAGGGCATGTTCTGGTCAGCTGTATCACACAAGGGCCTGTAGGTGGGCTAAGTGGTGTTATCATCCCCACTCAACACACAAGGAGACGGACGTCAACCAGGATTTCCCCTCCGTGGACCGACCTTAGTCAAGCTCCTCTAGCCCTCACCCTGCGTTTCTGCATCCATCCTCGCGAAGACCAGCCTTGGCAGGAGCCCTGCAAAGTGAGCTGAGGGAGCTTCTCCCCCATCTCACCCTTCCCCCAACCCAGCACCTGAGATAGCTCGGCATTTCATATGCTCTCCAGGCCCTTGGCTCACTTTAGAAGACATATTCGGCTACTTTAGCAGTGACCCCCCTCCCACCTGGGGCCTCCTTGTGGTCATTTCCCACCCACTGACGCCCTTTTTGTGCTCCTTGTCTTATCCTTATGTTCAGAATTGAATCTGATCTGCTTCAGCCTCCCAGGGTGCTGTGGTTATGGGCATGCACTATTGTACCCCACAGAATGTTTTCTTTGCCAAGGTTACAAGTGAAATGATTTGCCAAGTTCACCTGATTCACCTCATGGGCAGCCAAGTG